CCTATCCAAACACTGGGTGCACAGACATGTCCCAGTTCTCATAAGTATCCTTTCAGCGTCATGATGGTGGACTGATCCAGGGAACCTCCTTGCTAGTTTATCAGGCACAACCATCCAGCCACATTACCACAGATGCATTCCTCCTTGGCTGGAGCACCCATTTTCAGCATCCCTTCATTCAGGGCAAATGATCTGCTCACAAATCCAGGCTCCGGTCAATCTCCTGGTGCTCTGAGCTGTGCACAACACCTGCAGTCACTTCTGCCATCACATTCAGGGTTTACCGTCTGCATCCTTACAGACAATGTCACTATGATGTTTTACATGAATCGACATGGAGGTACATGTTCCCGCCCTCTGTGTGGAGGAGGTATGCCTGTGGAACTGGTATATCCACAACAATATCACCATCATGGCATCTTCCTGGAGTCAAGAATGTTATTGTGGATACACTCAGCTGCAAGTTTGCAATAGAGTACGAGTGGGAAATCCATACCAGGGTCTTGCACGGTGTCTTCTACTCATGGGGTTGGACATTGATAGACCTTTTTGTGCCATGCCACAATACCAAGTGCCCTCTATTGCTCCAGGGTGGGCATAGGATCCAGATCGTTAGCAGATGCTTTTCTTATCCCATGGAATATTCACCTTTTCTATGCCTTTCCTCCCATTCTACTCATCCTCAGAGTTCTCCACGAGATAGAGTCAGACAAGGCCCTAGTCATTCTCACAGCCTGGGTGTGGGCCAGGCAGATCTGGTTTCCCTATCTCTATCAGATGTCTTTCCGACCCCCCTATCAGCTTCTGACCCACCCAGACCTCCTTTCGCAGAACAGAGGCACCCTTCACCAGCCACAGCCACAGCCACTATATCTGATGGCGTGGCTCCTCTCTGGTTCTCAGAGGCAGAACAGAAGTGTTCACAAGTAAGAAACATCCTACTCCACAGGAGACATCAGACCACTCGCAAAACTTACTTCCATAAGTGGAGGTGGTTTACGGCCTGATGTAAGAGAAACGATATCCACCTCTCATATACACCTCTCCACATGATCCTCAACTACATTATCTTTCTGCAATAACAAGGTTTATCAGTTTCATCACTCAGGGTGCATCTAGCTGCGTTTGCAGCATTTCACCCTACAATTGACAGTTTCTCTATATCTGCTCATCCGATTTTTAAGAGATTCCTCAAAGGGCTACATAATCTTAATCCACTATGTAGACCTATTTCTCCCATGTGGGATCTAGAATTAGTTCTCTATGCATTTTACAGACTACCATTTGAGCCAATGGCCAAATGCTCACTCTACCTGCTAACAATAGAGATGGTGTTTCTAACAGCCATCAAATCAACAAGGCAAATTAGTGAGATTGCTGCTCTCACAGCATTCTCTCCCTACACTGGATTCCACAAATACAAGGTGGTTCTACTCCCCCACTCTTCATTCCTACATAAAGTTTGTTCCAATTTCCACATCAATGAGCCTATTGTCCTTTCAGCCTTCAGCCCAAAACCTCACACTTCTCTAGAAGAGACTATTCTACACACTCTGGATATCTGAAGGGCATTATCATTCTATATCGACTGTACTCGACCCTTCCATAAATCACAGAGCCTGTTCATTTCATTGGTTGAGCATTCCAGGGGAATGCCTCTCACATCAGAGCGGGTCTCAAAACTGGTGACATCCTGTATCATCCAGTGTTACTCCCTCCAAGGTACACCTCTTCCTATGCTCCCTAAGGTGCACTCCACTCAAGCAATGGCAACATCAGCAGCCTTCCTGAAGGGAGTTCTGCTCAAGGATATTTGCCATGCCGCTACCTGCTCCTCTAACCACACTTTCAGGAGGCACTATGCAATTTCCACACAAATGGAAATGAACTCTGTGGCAGCCAGTGGAGTCCTTTCATCTGAATAAAAAAACCTTACTGAAGCCCATCTTCCATCTTTAGGGTACAGCTAGGTAATCGCCAACTGTTGAGCACCTACAGGGACATCACTTGAAAAAGAAAAGGAAGTTACTCACCTTTTGCAATAACAACAGTTCTTTGAAATGAGTGCTCCACTACCCACCCTCCTCCCCTCTTTTTCAGTTTGACATTCATGTAAGAGGGCATTCACAAAGAAACTGAGGGGTGTCTGGCCAGGTGCGCAAACTCCAAGGGCGTGAACTCTTGCACATACATGGCCCAACTAGATACTGCTAGAAAAAATCCCTGATCTGTGGCATGGGATGAGCCCGACGCCAACAGTGAAGGACTCACAGGTACACAAATGTCAAAGAACTGTCTTTACTGCACAAGGTAACTTCCTTTTTTTGTGGTAAAATTCACTTGAACCGCATTCACACATTCCTTTGAGAAAGTTTATTGGGAGTAATCATCAGTTGCACCTCATTGCTGCAAATTTAGCTTTCTGTTCTAATGGTGGCAAGGAGTCCTGTGGCACCTTATAGACTAACCGAAGTGTTGGAGCATAAGCTTTCGTGGGCAAAGACCCACTTCGTCAGATGCATGGGGTCTTTGCCCACGAAAGCTTATGCTCCAACACTTCAGTTAGTCTGAATCTGCAAAAGCGGCAAGGAGTCCTGTGGCACCTTATAAACTAACACAGCTACCCCTCTGATACTTGTTCTAATGGTGTAAATTCCAAAAATTCACTGCAGTAGATGCACCGCTAATCATAGAATACTAGAACTTGAAGGGACCTTGAGAGGTCATCAAGTCCAGTCCCCTGGCCTCATGGCAGGACCAAGCACCACCTATATCTTCCCTGATAGATGTCTATCCAACCTGCTCTTAAATGTCTACAGTGATGGCGATTCTTCAATCTCCTTAGGTAATTTATTCCAGTGTTTAACTACCCTGATGGTTAGGAATTTTTTATTAATGTCCAACCTAAACCTCCTTTGCTGCAGTTTAAGCCCATTGATTCTTGTCCTATCATCAGAGGCCAAGGAGAACAACTTTTCTCCCTTGTCCTTATAACTCTCTTTTAGATACTTGAAAACTGCCGTTATGTTCCCTCTCAGTCTTCTCTTTTCTAAACTAAACAAGCCCTATTCTTTCAATCTTCTCTTATATGTCATGTTTTCTAGACTTTAATCATTTTTGTTGTTCTTCTCAAAACCTTCTCCAGTTTCTTCACGTCTTTCTTGAAACATGGTGCCAGAACTGGACACCCCCAACTGAGGCCTAATCAGTGCAGAGTAGAGTGGAAGAATGACTATTTGTGTTTTGCTCACAACATTCCTGTTAATGCATCCCAGAATCATGTTTGCTTTTTTGTTTGTTTTTTAATTATTTTATTTTATTTGCAACAGTGTCACTCTGTTGCCTCATATTTAGCCTATGGTCCACTATTATCCCTAGATCCCTTTCTGCAGTACTCCTTCCTAGACGGTCACTTCCCATTCTGAATGTGTAAATTAATTGTTCCTTCCCAAGTGGAGTACTTTGCATTTGTTCTTATTAAACTTCATCCTATTTACCTCAGACCATTTCTCCAGATTGTCCAGATCATTTTGAATTATGACACTATCCTCCAAAGCACTTGCAGCTTGGTATCATCTGCAAACTTAATAAGCATACTGTCTATGCCAATATCTAAATCATTGATGAAGATATTGAACAGAACTGACCCCTGCAGAATCCCACTTGTTATGCCCTTCCCACATGACTGAGAATCATTCTACTGTGCAGAAATTAGCCATTTTTCTGTTGTCTGCCTAGATATTTGCCAACTTGGGCATGGAATTATTCTTCTGTGAGGACTACTTACATGTCAAGTTGCAAATTTCAGACACTTTTAAATTGTCTCTGGGCACAGATGTGTAATTTTTCCCATCTTCATAAAACTTAAAAATAACTGCAGGGATTTTGTGCACTTATACAAAATTATCTCCACTTAGAGACGAAGAATGAAAAATTTCAGTCCACGGAGTAGATGATTTTTTTTGTGTAAAACTATGGCATTGTGAAAATAGAGAGTTATCATTAAAAAAATTTTAATGAACATGGGAAAACTTTTAAAATCTATTTGTGAAGAGGCCACTTTAGAAGATTTGGAAATCCTGTGGGTTTTTTTCCCAAAGATGTGGTTTATTCATTTTGTTCTGTTATCTTTTTGCTACTGCTACAGCAACAGCATTGGTGTATTCTTCTGTGGACCCAAAGTTCTCTCCAAGATCCTTCAAAAGAAGTGCAACTTGTATTCATCAGCTGATCCAAGGAGTGTTCAGTTTCACTATAACAAAGAAAGTTTCTAAACAATATTTTTGAAATGTTAAAATCAATGTCATTATGCTGTATATTTTTAGGTATCTGAATATAGTTGAGGATCTGGGCTCAAGTATCTTTATAAACAAGGGTTTTAAAAAAAAATTTAAAAGTACAAACATGAATCACACTACCCCCCAGAATTCACAGAGGTTAGTAGAAGATGCAGCTCTGCAGTATATTAAAAAAAAACAAAAATCTATTAAATTTGTACAGAGATATAGAACACAGTTCATAAGGATCACATAATGTAATTATTCATCCATGCAATCAAACCATGAAGCAGAAAACATTCCAAGTGTGTCAGGAGTTGAATAAGACATGACAAAATTATATAGGTACAAAATACATGGAAGAATATTCACTAGAGAAGACAAAACTGTACAGACAGACAAACAAACACATAAGGATAAAAATTACATCTCAGGACTAAAGGAATATTTTATAAATTTCCTGTTTGGGGATGGCGTTTGTATGAACTTAGCTGGCGCTACAAGATATAGTTGTATTGTTATTGAGTTGAAGACGATGCATCTTTATTTGAAAATTGTGCTAGTTTTCTGAAATGTCTGCCTATGTGAAATGATTAATGTGATGCATACAGTGTAGCAGTAAAGTGAGTGAAGAATTAGAGTCTCTGGCAGTTCACCTAGAGGCATTTATCTTTTATTTTTTCCCTGGTGCCAGAGATGAGCCTCGGGGTAAGCTGAAACTTATTTTTTTTTAATATAAATTAAGCTTCTTTTTTTGTGTTAAAAATCTTGAAGGGAATGAAGAATGTGTATGAGCACCAATACCAGCTGCCATTGCATGAAAGAAAGTGGTGACAATCTCCTGTAGATTCTGAATGATTGTTTTAATGGGCCTGGATCTGAAGTAACAAGCACAAAGATACTGTGCTGCCAGAAAAACAGGATCTGTTCTCCTTTACCTCATGCAACAAGATGTAACATTTAGCTTCTGGCTCAATGTGGCATCTCTTCAATGCTTTGATTTATTCCCACTTTTGCAAATCACGGTGGTATGCTATACGAGACGCATTTAGAGCTCTTGTTATAGTTCATTGAGTAGCATCACAGTTACCACCGGAGGAGAATTTCACTTGTATCAGAGCTGAGTGACCTAGAATAAAAAGAAAATAATAACAATAATAGTAATAAAAAGTGGGGAGGTTTGTTAGACTAGAATGAAACTGCATTTAGGTTGAATGAAAATCCCTTTATTATGAATAAATTTGAAATCAAAATGGAAACTAGAAAGATTTGGCTTAGTGCCATGTTTTGAATAGCATGGAGCATAGAGCAGCTATGATAATGTGAAGGTCTATGTAATTATTATTGTGTTTATGTATGAAAACATCTGTCAGGGAAAATGAAAGGTGTCTTCATGGATTTGTCCATTCAGCTTCTTCAATGGAAAGTGTTTACAACTGTAGAAAAAATATTAGTAAATAAAATATAATCAAAACAGCACAGCTTCATCTCATACTGTACTAATGTGACAGTCAATTAGAGGCCCATACCTACAGATCATTATTTGGACCTTACAACAAAATTAACTTTAGCAACAGATTTACTGTAAGAATTTTTAATTGTGCACTTCCATTCACCACCTCCAAGTATAATCTAATATATAAAGGAGAATGTTTGTAAGTTTGTGCGCTAATAACTTGGACACTATAAGAGCTACTGCAGTCAAATTTGCATGGGATAACCTTTCATTCAGGAGAAGATTTTAAAGTACTTTTGGACCCGAGCGGGTCCAAGCTCAAGCTGTAAAAATCAAAAAGTAACCTGCCACGCTGCGCTGCAGGGGCCGCCCTGCCCACCCTAGGTCCCATGCCCACTGCCTGTGGCCCCCAGTGCCGTCCAGGACTCGCCCTCTCCTGCCCGTGAGGTTACATAAGTGACCCTCTCCTCCCCCCCCCCCCCCCCCCC